CATAATGATCACATAAAGACAAACGTTGAAATAAATCTATAAGTTGAACAGTGAGATTAATCTCTCACCACATTCATTTCGAATGACGGAATTGCAGTTAATTTAAAAGTCCTTTTCCGAGCTCCCTTCCATCCTCATACAGGCCGAATAATATGACTCTTGGAGCGGCCTACACAATCCGACTGAGATCAGGCCTGTGCAGACATTTGAACTACCTTATAAATCTAGCCGGCCGTTTGAGCCAATTAGGCTCTCTCCAAGTAGGACACCTTTTTCTTTTTATCATCCCGAAGGTTGAAGTCGTAATGGAAATCAAAATTTTGGATGCTGCATCAACTGTGTGTTCTTTGCTACACATTCACCAGCGACAGAGGCTGGGCTGTAAAATGCTTTACAACATCAATATATTTTGAACTAAAAGGTATGTTCTGTGATCATTTGCAAATGAAGAGGACTGCGTGCTAAATTTCTCCTCTCGGTCTGTAGGGTGTAAAGTCATAAAAGTTGACGTTTTGACCGTCAGGAAAAATTCCGACTGATACCTGATTCTGTAAAAAAAAACTCACAATACTCATGACGGAAAAGTTTGGTAGGTAGAGTTTTGTTGGGCGCTGATCAACCGAATATGTCAGTTTGCTTACATTAGGGTATGTCAGTTTAGGGACACCTATCTTGAAGTTGTGCATAGACGGTGAGGTCTAATAAAGGGACAACTTGGACCCACTACCGCGCCATATGTACAACATGAAAAACTGTTGCAGACAAAGTGACCAGAGGATATTTGGAAGAGCACGGGATATATAGCAAACCTAAAAAGATTACTCAGAGTAAGGCAGATATAAAATTGTGCAAGATGGATGTATGAGGCCGTTTCCTGGGTAATTTCCTCCGCTCTCTGAACGTTTAAGGGGACGAACGAGAACTTTATTTATGATGTTGCTAAGTTTTATAGGACTCCTGGCTTCCGATTACAGATGGCTATCATTGTTAAGGATTTGTTATAGCAAGATTAAAATACCACATATTTAAGGCGAAGCTCTATAAAGACAGCCTCCTGGTTGATTTGCAGGACCCACTTTTTGTTAATGCAAAATTAACACCCATAATCGGTGTGCTATTATTCGCTTACAAATTCTACATATAACGCAGCGAAGCTGCTATCTTCGCTTAAAGAAAAAAGACCTTTTACGCCATCGACCATTTGATTCAGCGGCAGGAAACATAGAAACTCATGGGTATGCACGCATACGTATTAATTTAATCATAGTTTCACAGAGTGCTGCCGAAGACATAAAAAGTAAAAGCTACAGAAAAGACGAAATATGCATTATCTTGAGGCCGAAAAAATGATCTAGAAACACAGCTGCGCGCTATATCACTTGGTTGTACTTCTGGTTTGAATAATCCCATCAAGATCACAAATCTGAAATGGTGCTCCTTTGATCGGCACTTCTCCTGAAGCCATTCCAGTACACCTGCATGTTGCATTCCAGCATAGTTGCTTGTCCTATCCAACAGTTCACCGACTCACGAAAATTTAGTACTCTACACAGTAATCGTCCTTCTCTCATTTTAAGTAGCAGTTTTGTCTGCGCTTTTGACATCAAAGCTAGCATCCCTTTTGTGTTAATATTCTCCCCTTTATAAGGCTTGCAATTAAGGGTTCTAAGCCGGCGAAAGCAGACTTGCACCTTTGATCTCAGAGTACACATCTCCTAGCCTTATAATTTCAGCAAGGAATTTGAGGGTCTTATTATCTTCATTTTCAAATGCATTCCACTCCGATGCAAATACAGAAAAGATACGCAAAATCAAGGCAGCTTAATTGAATTGGAACTTGCACTTGACCGGTCTGTGAAAATGCGACTAGCAATAAGGTGAGGAAAAGAAAGCATCAATACTCATTCCAGCGCAATCATCATCATCATCATCATCATCATCATCATCATCATCATCATCATCATTGTCGTCGTCGTAATTATTGTTATTATTATCATCATCATCGTGATCATCATGACCATACCATTATCGTTGCTTGCATGTTTCGGTTTTGCCCCACAAAGCGTGGCCCATGTGTCCCGTTAGCGATAAGTACAGTGTGCAGGTCTTTAGTCAACCGCTTAGAAGTCTGTTCGTGCATGTTTCATTAATGTTTATCTCTGTACAGTAGGTGGGCTAACTCATGAAATGCCAGCCTAAACTCCGAAAAGTGTTTTCGTTTCGAAAAGATTAATTGAGAAGGGTTGTAAATCCAATCATCATGCAGAATAATTCTATAATAATTCATTTATTTCAGGATTCTGTCATTCGAACGCATGTCTTTCCGGCTGCATGCCAAGACTACACTCTGTAAAAAATTACTACTTAAATATCATGGATTTCTCTCATTGATTTTCGATGCCTTAAAATATTCTATTATATTTCATGGAAAACATCATTATTCCATTCATTCAGTAGGAAATTGCGTCTTCTTCCAATGTTATACTCGAAGGAAGGGTATAATTCGGTTTTCAAATACCTTTCCAATTCCCGACTAATTTGGAACCCAACCTGCAGTTGCACTTGCATTCAGGGTTCCCAAACTACAGCCCGCATACTTCCCGCGTACGGAAAACCATACATTTCTCTACAATATTAAGCGCAGGCCATATGGGGTTCATAAAGTTTAGTATTGGATTTTGGCCATATTGTAAACTTTACAAGCCACGTCAGCAAATGCAGTGAAACGATGTTTTATGACCTGGCATTTCACGGTATTAAAAAATCCCGTAATTAGAAACTTTTTAAACACCGAATTGCACCCTCCCTTCGATTATAAAATTAGAAGAAGACGTAATGTTCTGCTAAAAGAGTAAAAGAATGAGTATTTTTATGCATA